GGCTTCACACATTGTACCCATGTCGGGATTCGAACCCGGGTCTTCGGCGTGACGAGCGAACGCTTTAACCACTAGGCTACCCGACCGCCCCTGAAGAAGAAGAAGAAGAAGAAGAAGAAGAAGAATTTACCAACGGGTCACTGGATGCATAAAAACATGGCAAATATTGCATGAATTTAAAATACATCCACCGGTCAGCATTGGCCTATAAGACACGAATATACGTGTAACATCAATAGTTAAAATCTAAAACATAAAATATACATCTTTTCATTAAAAAGTGATTATCTTCAACACAGTTGGTGCAAAACTTGCAGAGTCTATTTATTAAAGGTGTTAGAGGTTTTGTGTATCTTCCTATTGCAATATATAAAGGCAGGGTTCCACAACGGAATTTACTCAAAATACTTCTTTCATATCTATCAAGTGAACCACTGACATACCTCTCAGTATAAAGATCAGTTTTAAAATACTACACATACTAACACACACGAGCAGTCTTCGTTTGTATCTTTACAGGGGGCACGGATGGCCCACTCGTGTAAGGCGCCGCGATTCGCTGTGCAGAGTTGCGTCCCTTAGGCACGCGAGAAACCTATGATTGTGGGTTCGAATCCCGGTTCGCCCCGATTATGTTTCTAGGTTTGTCAGCACCATACCCGTGCTCGTGGGTTTCACCGAAGTGGTAAACGTCTGAGACCTGCATCACTTCGAGCTTTCCTCCCACATTAAGCTGACAGGCCGTGATATGACTGGAATACTGTTAAAAGCGGCGTTAAACCCAACTCACTCACTCACTCACTCGTATCTTAACGGATGTAAATACGGATGTTAGTGCAAGTACGTCTCTTGTATTTAAACCTGCTTCCGTTGCGTATTTCATTTAGCATGTGACACAGTAATATAACACCCTCACATCCCCTCTCTATCAAACTGTTGCAAGATATTTACCAAGCTTAGCAATGTTTATCTACAGAGGCTGATTTTAAATAGAAGAGTCCTTAGCAAATAAAGAGGCGGTGCTATTGACATAACGAATTTTGATTTAAACCAAATAATTCCATATTCTATAGAAACGTGGTGTTGTCTTTTCTGAACGAACCAGACCACGTTACTGTCAAAAGGCACCTCCCCGTGAACATCCGGGTTAGAATTTCTTCTTTGATAGGCATTTAGAAGTTAGAGTACTAAGTAAGTATAAGTGTTATGCTCTTAGAGCTCTTAATTGTAATAAAGAAGTCGTTCATCCATAAACCTTATCCTTACTGGGTTAGAATTGGATCTCCAGCAACCCATGCTTGTCGTAAGAAGAGACTAACGGGATCAGGTGGTCAGGCTCGCTGACTCGGTTGATGCGCGTCATCGTATCCCAACTGCGTGGATCGATGCTCATGATATCAATCACTGGATTGTCTGGTCCAGCCTCGATTATTTACTGGGTAAATATGTGGGTCCTATGTTGTACATTGTACGCCAATCTACGGGTCACCATACATTTTTGGTACATGTCACCTTTCACATCTTGTGCATTGTTCATAAAGCGACAAAACCCTTTCCATATCCAACAGAAATCTCTGCATAAAGCAGAGTCGATTGTACGATTCCGACTACATCGTGCAGAGTAGCGTCCCTTGGGCACGCCAGAAACCTGTGTTCGTGGGTTCAAATACTGGCTCGCCCCAATTATGTTTTTAGGTTTGTCAGCACCATACCCGTGCCCGTGGGTTTCACCAAAGTGGTAAACGTCTTAGACCTGCATCACTTCGGGCTTTCCTCCCACATTATGCTGACACGCCGTGATATAACTGGAATACTGTTAAAAGCGGCGTTAAACCCAACTCACTCACTCACTTGCTCACTCACTCACTCACTCGTAAGGGTAGCACTGTTCTGTGTAACACTTTGATGCAACCCACGATGCTGGAACTCGACCCCATGGGGCACCGCACGGCACAGCTGCTCCTTAGATGACCCGCTGGGCCATCCGTGTTTGACCGGACCAGATCAATTCTGTTTTTCTAGTCAATCATTCCTCACATCTACGTTCGAGAACGCAACGTCCCCACCTTTATGTTTATTCCTTAGGATTGACTGATGATTGACTGCAGAAAATGCGGGAAAGAAATCATTATATCACAAACATTGGAATCAATATAAATTTCTATTTTAAAATATAGTTCTGTGATGTTTCGAATTCATATATTAATCATCCATCTCATCACCGACTTGTCCCTTAATGAGTTGACAGTCAGCCTTGGAAGCATGGTTGTATAACACACGCGGCCACTGTAGCAATCCCCGGAATATTTGATCCCAGGAACTGACCCCGAGGGGCCCCGGAAACTCCCGAGTACTTCATATCCCGGAGTCGACTTATGGGGTCACTGGTGGGTCAGCGAGAATCTCCACCACTATGGCAGCAAGTGCACATCCCCCATTTGTGCAAGACCCTTACGTGATAATAAATAAACCTGTGTCATTCTATTACCTGATCTGTTCACTCTTTGGTAGAATGCACAGACGCACACACGCACGAACACGCACGCACGCACACACACACACACACACAAAGTCAGGTTTACTGAGCGAGACTCTGTTAACCACCGGCCGCCGTTCTATCTTGAAAATTGCTGACAGCGTACTAAAACAACATTCACACACCAAAAGATGCGAGGCAAACATTGGTGTGTTTCAAGCCATGGGTTCAGGATTCAAACTCCCCTTTAACAGCTCTGACAACCAAGCACACCCGGTGTTAGCCTAGTCTCCACAATGGTGGACATCAACTAGTCTCCCTCCAGAAAACACCGTGTCATTAGGGATCGATCATTAGGTTATCGTATGATTGCTCGATTGAAACTTAGAAATAATGTTAACTGAAGTCGAATACGGTTCTAATTTGATTTCTGACGATACGAAATGTTTCAGATCCAAAGACATTAAATCAGAGGTCTTATAAATATTGATTTTCTGAAGACAAATTATGCTGCAGAGCCAATGCCCTCGAAAAGAGTCATCAAATTGATCGTGGGTTCATGGAAAAACGTAGTCGGGTCACTACGAGTAATTGAGTCAGTGAGCTGGGTTTAACGTCGCTTTTTACAGTGATCCAGTTATGTCACGGTCTGTAAGCTTATACCGCCTCCGTGGTCTAGTGGTAGAGCGTCCGCCCGGAGAGCGGAATGTCCGGGGTTCGATCCCCGGCCGCGTCATACAAAAAGACGTTAAAAGATGGTACTTGTTGTTACTCTGTCTGGCGCTCGGCATTAATGGGCTAAAACAAGGACTGGTCGGCTCGGAGTTAGTATACTGTGTCTGACTGGGGTATTCATGCTAAACTGCGGCATGGTATCTCAGTGAGCTAGCACTATAAATAGGCATCAGTCCGGACTAGTACAAGCAGCCACACAAACACACACACGTACATGCACGTCGCTATATAAGTGCAATAATCTTGAAAGCGACGTTAAACCCAATTTCACCTCACCACCTCACCTGTAAGCTTAATGTGGGAGGAAAGTCATAAGTGATTCAGGTCTTAGACGTCTCTTTGGTGAATCCCACGAGCACGGGTTTGGTGCTGACAAGCCTCTGGCCCCCGGGGCGAACAGGAATTCGAACCCATTTATAATACGCCAAATTCCTTTCACCAAGAGAACAATCCGGGTGCTACGGTATCCCGTCAATGGATCAGTGCGCGCTCGACTTTCATTCTCAGCTCCCTGAGGAGTATACAAGTTGTCTGTAAAGAGCTAGAAGGTTAACAGCCACATTACCATCTCATCCTTCCGGGTACCCATTCACTGCTAGGTGAAAGAGGCATATTACGAACCTGCCCAAGATGAAACCACATGTACTTCAGTGTGGACCGAAGCCCTTTAAACTCAGTCAAGGGTAAAACCTATTGGAGGTTGAATATTAGTTGAAAACTATTGGAGGGTGAACATTAGTTAAAAACCTTTGGAGGTTGAAAATTAGTTGAAAACTATTGGAGGTTGAAAATTATTGGAAAATTATTAGAGGTTGAATACTAAAAAAATAACTAACATCTATATAACTTTGTTTTAAGATAGGTTTTACAAACTTACAACAAATGATTATTCGTTTTCAACATTACGTATGAGAGAATGTCAGAAATCTGGCCATTATTTTCGCACGTGAAGCTTACTTAAAACAAAGCTCTATCAAGTTAATGCCTCAAACTTCAATCTTCAAGTGATATTCACTATACTATTCTATTCTATGGGAGGGTGGTTCACGGTTCGCACGTGAAGCTTGTTCGAGGCCGTTAGGCCGAGTTTCACGAGCGAAAATAATCGCGAGATTGAGGACTTTCTCCTACTTAAAACAATGTTCGATCAAGTTAATGCCTCAAACTAATCTTCAAGTGATGTTCACTATACTATGCTATACTATGGGAGGGCGACCGCTCTTGTTTAACTATGGTAGGGAAACCTTTCAAGGAAGACTATGGGACGATTAAGTACCCATACTCAAACTATGGGTCAGCAAAATGATTGCGTCTATCCAACTGTCATTAAAGTTCACGTAACTTTGTTTTATTAAAAGTGCACATACAACATGTACAGTCTTTTGTGTCTATAAATGTTCACAACCCCTGAAGAATTGGTCTTCAATGGCCAATGTTGGTCGTAGGATGCGAGTATGGGAGCGGGTGGTCAGGCTCGCTCACTTTGGTGTTGGACTATTGCTGAGTGAGGCGTTAAACAATAGTGAGTGGGTATGGTTTTACGCCGCTTTTAGCAATATTCCAGCAATATCACGGCGGGGGACACCAGAAATTGGCTTCACACATTGTACCCATGTCGGGAATCGAACCCGGGTCTTCGGCGTGAACGCTTTAACCACTCGGCTACCTGACCGCCCCGTTAAACAATAACCAAACAAACACACCTTTGTGCCGTGCACAAGACCACGTGCTACAGCGTTTAAGTCCCCCCATGTGGCACCAAGAGATGAATAAACAACCACTACATATGTATATTAATTCATCGTTTATTGTCTTGCAACGGGGACAAACACAAAACGTACAAATATTCCTGTAAACAGCAAAGCAACTTTCAACCAAGAACAATGTACACTATGTAAGAGAGCTGCACGCCAGATATCACAATTTCTCTTCTCGCATGCAACATTCAACTCTCAGACTTTTAACGAGACTATAACGAGACACTCAACTCACATCTCAAGGCCAGACAAATTAGGCCTTACACATTACCAGCAAAGCCACAAAATATTAATGTTTACATTCGTCGGCTTTTCGGGCTTTTGTGAAACCGAATCTCCTTAATCTGGTCTTCTCTACAAGTGGAACCTTGTTAAACCAAATTTATTCCATGCGAATTTCATGGATATTAATATTTCAATGATATGATTGTATACTTTTAAATCTGTTAACGTCAATCTAGACACGTTTGATCAATCGAAATATGTTGTATGAACGAGGTTCCACTATCATGTAAGTACGTAATGTACGATTTTAACTGAGAATATACATATACTGATATATATTGTCGTTGAGGTATTTATTTACATTGAGATTCAAATCCAACTGTCCTCGCTGATTTTAAAATTCATCAGTAAGAATATGATTTTGACTCATCCTACATTGTTGTAATGATTATAAAAAATAAGCATTAACAATTACAAACATAAAGTAAAATGGTCTATAAAATTATTTTGATTTCGTAAATGACAGAAAATTAAGTACGGTGGGCATTGTTATTGAGGATTATCTGGTTCATCCACATTGTGATATGTTAATGTGTGAATGTGTACTGACGACATCTTAATCTTTAACATTGTTAAATTTCCCCTGTATCTTAAAAACTAAACATTATATTTTTTAAAAGGAACGAATATGTTAAAATATGCAAAATATGACAAACTTTTTCCAAACAATGCATTACCAAGTTGAATTTGACAAAAGCATGTAACAGCTGCACGTGCATTGCTCGCAGCCGTGACGGCGGTGAAATATTCACGATCGTTTAATGCCTAACATAGACGATTTCAATCAAAAACATTAAATCAAATTTCAATAACGACACAAGTATCAGATCAGTTTTGATGGTCATCAGATGAAGTCATGAATTGATGTTTTGAGAATAAGACTAATTCTGAAATATAATGAGGAAAAATGAAAGTGATTAAATCTTGTTTCATAATATTTCACAACTACGTGACAAAATGTGTGCTTGCGTCCCATTACGATGCCATTTTCCTTACTTACGTTTTGTTTCATAATACGAAATATAAATATATACGTATAATGAAAATTCTACCTACCTACCCATTTTTGGTGGAGTAAAAGGAAGAGAAACAAGATCGTTTCACGTTGCCTGAAACGGAAGTTGTCAAAAAGTCCAAATGCCATCATCGTCAAACGCTGTTTGATTCCGAAACGAAAAAAGATGGATTTAGACTTTCGGATTAGAGTTATGAAGCAAAAACATCACCACCGCATGAAGAAATATAATTAAATAATTTTACATTCTTATTAGTAAACATATTTTTAACATAGGTAGATCTGAAACTCTGCATTTCAAAATATTCATGATACATTTCTCATTTACATTTACACATTCGTACAATGAACATATAATGGTTGGTAAAAAGTTGAGCATGGCGTCTTTATAGGGGGGTACTTCACACGCGCACAGTCAGACCCACACTCGCCCAAATTCTCCTCCTTCATGGCATGAAAATGTTTCAGATGTCTGAATGTCACAAGAGGCATTGTCTCGCAGACTGATTGTCTAAATAAACAACAATGTACATATTCAAAGGGGCACTAATGATTTAGTGTAAGCTTATGTAATGACATGATCTCTGCCAATCTTGGCGTTTTTCAAATCTTATCTTTACTGGTAAAACAAGATAATTACAAAAAATCGAATTCTAATTTCTGATTAAATTGTTTATATAATTAGGGACCGCCCATTTAATATCAGATCAGGAGGGTAAGGAATTCTGTTTTTGTGACGACACTGCTTCAAAACAGCCATGCCATTTTTTAAACTACAACACGTTTATTTTCAAGCCAATGAACATTATGAATTTTTTTTAAAGTTTTTGTGAATATTTCTAATAAGTCACATCTGTTTCAAATGGCCGGTCTGTGGGTATGACATATAAATCATAGATTGGTTACATGTATTTAAATATATTTTAGTCTTTGGAATATTCGGTGGAAACGTTAGGAAAGAGACAAAGTCACAAAACACTGTACATCAATACGACCCAAAACAATGCGACATAGTTTATGTTAATATGTGACAAAGATTAATGTATTATAGCTTTAAACCAGCAATGCCCCTTTAAGAATATCAACTATACATCACAAGTGAAATGAAAACATGGAGGTACATTCAGACATCTGCCTATAAATGGATTGTATGAAAGATAATGAGAAGACCGCGTCCACTGGTACATTGCTTGTTGGGTGGTACAGTGGACACATGTTTGGCTTCAAGTCACAGAGACACGACATACCTAACGACATATGCCACAAAACGTTAGGCGGGTTTATGACGTCATGTGTGACCTTGACACTCGACGTCCTCATACAACGTCAGAATTATCCACGAAGCAAACGGGACAATGTTTAAATTGTCATTACAATTATTCACAAATAATTATGGCCATGAGGTACCCTTCTTTGATTTTCTGAATATAAAACAAACGTATGACAATCACAGGTTCAACTAGCAAGGGAAAGAGTCGAGTTGAAAATCCCACCCCACTCCCAACCCAAACAAAATTCGCTATCAAGTTCATTTTTTACTTCATGCACGAAATGAAATTTGTTGTATCATATAACAAATAAACTTAGTATTTCATGTTTTCATTTTCAAAACAAATTAATACAAATTTCACATATAAGTATCCATTAACAGGTTCCGGATAAGGTAAATATTGGATTCAGATGTAAACAATTACACAAAGTAACAATCACATTATACTTTGTGGAGTTCTTTAGGATCCACGTTAGTTAAAAAGGTATTAACATGATCGATATAAAGAGACATGAAATCAACTTATTAAATGATAACAGTAGGAATGTCTCAATTCTCACTCCCGTGAGACGTCCCAAGGCGTCCATCTCGCACACATTATTACATCTTGTAACCCTTCAACACCAGCCATAGTGCAAAAATCTATCGGAATGCTCAACACGGGAGTGCTATTGAACGGCGAGGACTCGCCCGCGGCCGTTATTGATTTCGGCGACTGTAGAACACTCAACGCTGGAATGGTTTCGGCGAACACCGAAACGTCTTTGGAACAAGACGTCATCATTTATCGACGGTATGCAACGTCCTTCCATTATTATGTCTACTGTCAATCGCCAAGAGACGTGAACATCTGATAGCAGTATCGCACATTGACTACCCATGAAGTAACACAATTCTGCTGTTTTGTATAAATATTATTCATTCATCACAAGCGGTATACTGGCATATTGATTTTCCCGTCAACTTTAAACATACGACTGCACGCATGTGGTAACTAATACATGGTTCCCAGCTTAGATGTTTCATGGATCTGTTTCACTGGAAATACTGTACTCCCCTTTATCGGGACATTCTCAGAGATAGCATTGTCGTTTCGTGTTCTTATCACCATATGAAAATGTCCTGTGTCTTGAACTTCGAGCCAGTTGTCGTCTGCTCCGGAACCGTCATGTTATCTCGAAGAAGCCACGGTCTTGGATTTGGGGATAAACACACATTATAATAAAATATATTCACAGCATATCTTTTGGAAGCGTCGTCTATGTTATATCGTCTGCTACACGTCCGCCATTTTGTTAGCCAATATTATCAGCATTTTTCAGGCAGATTTGTTCTTCAAAATGGAACTGACTAGAAAATAGGGTTACATCATCGCTTGTCACTGGTCCAACCCACGGCATCATTACTGGATTGGCTGGTTGTTATCAGATCGTGATTAAGATCTGTTCCCGTGTCAGAGTCTAGACAAACAAGAACAACTGCGTTGCTGATAATTGAAATGTTCTAGAGGTTGATTCACGTAATAACCAGGTATGTATCTTTGGAAAATGAGGCCTTCAGGCAATCAGGGGCAGTTGTACTTCCAAAAAAGGGAAACATGTTCCTCTAAAGTCACATTTGTGGTCTGTATCACATTCATGTTGTTCATAGATGTCCCCAAGACAAACCAAGCCTTTACCTGGCTATGTCACACAGACCAGGTCGGCACACTGTCCGTATCAGTTTATCGATCTTGTTTGTTTACAGTCGAATCCAGTCTGTCATATGCAGGGGGAGTAGGACTTAAGTTCTGTGAAAATCTCAGTAAAGAAGCTTGGGTCTCTGTTAATCCGTAGCATACTGGGACTCAGCCTGTTTACTATGACAAGAGATCTGTCCCAGAATCGGTCTTTGTCATCTTCCACTAGGAATGGTTTCAGAGGGTAGCTGATCTCATTGCCCATGTATGAGTAGGAGAGATATAGACACGTGAGAACAGTGGCCTGTAGATCATGTTCCGACTCGCTATCACTGGTGACCATATCTCTTATAAGCAAATACACAAACACAACATTTGCCGGGTTGATGAAGGCGACATCCTGCCACCCTTGAAGGAGGAGAGATCTGTCAACGCTTCGGAGCCACATAATTACATCACTTGCCTCAAAATGACGTAATTTTTTACACTTCTTCTTTAAATATTCCCCCAGACATTTCAACAGTTCTGATGTGGAGGCTTGAATCACCGTCCGCTTGGGACTGAGACATTTTTCTACCTTCTTAACAAGGTTAGAATGCTGAGATTGACTTTCATCGATTCCGGTTTTGAGGTTATAGCAAGATATGGATTTTTGGATGTTTTTGTTGATATTAACATTCTCAATGTTACAGTTATTGTCAAACTTACTGGCAAGGAACGTTGTGTTGGAGAGTTTGATAAGACCCTTTTCCTTCTTCTTGCTGTTCACAGTAAACTTCTTCCAGCTGAGCGCACTGAGGAAGATGGAGTGACGTTTTAGGTTCTTCTCCTTTTCTTTCTCCTTATCCTTGGCTTGGTTCTTGACGTTGTGAAGAACCTCATAGTTAAAGTTGTTGAGGTTAATGTCTTCGTACAGAGGTTTCCGGGGTCGGGGAGAAAACGACAACACCGTTCCCATCGTTAATGTAATTCCTGATCACGAACGCGACAGAATCGGGACACTGTAAAGATGGAGGTTCCGACTCGTTTTGGGTGGCTCACTCTGTGTAGAGGGACGGTACGATATCCCTCCCGAGTCTCCCTCCACTCGAACAAGTGGTAATTCCGACGTTCACAGCGACTGGTCTGAAAATGGCGGCCTAGATACACTCAAGCAGTGCCACCATCATTCATCAGCTTTGTCTTCTCGCTGGAATAATCAATAAACATAATGCAGACGATGACATCATCTCCATGGCAACGCCGCAAGTGCAGCCTCCGCTAATCAGAACGCTGTACGAGGCGGATCGATCAATATTCAGCATTAAGAACATGGCATTCACCAATACATTTCCGCCCCAGCTTTGCTTCAGGTATTAGGTCACTGTAGGCGACGTTACTGGACACTGGTCAAAAATATCATCAGGATTTCATCTCGGACAGCAGCTCAAGCACGTTTATGTCAACATATGACTGAGCGCCATCTGTCGGTAGGGAATGAAACCTTATACAGATTACACTCATTCATACCATTAAAAATTGATGCGTTTTCTAATAAGAGCTAGCGTCGGGTGCAAGTCGTTTAGGCCTCGTTAAGAGAATGCAGTGAGGGGGTCTAATTTCGAAGATTATGGAGGCGGGAACAGCTGGGTAAGACCTACGCACATTGTCATACAGCCTGCATCAATTGTTCAGATGACCCTGGGCTAATTATGCCAACCCAACCCACGGAGATACATTGACAGCTCGGGGTGGCGGTTTATGCGGTCGATACCCGACAATAATCACTGAGGTGTGACCCGGATCATCTTATCGATTATAGTGCGAGTGTGCCACAACATATGTCTGGGATCTTGCAACTCTCTCCCGTCCCTCGCTAACCCCCTCTCCTTCTCCTCTGCGGCCTCTACATCCCCATCGCTTTACATTTCATCTCGAATACTGTATATTACTAAACAGGACTATATCTTTAATTCATACCGTTATTAAGTTAACGAGTTTTGGAATACTATATAATTGAAGAGGGCGGGTTGTAATAGCATCTGTCTGATGGCTTCATCATTTCGTAATGATAATGCCTTAATGCAGTGCCGCGGAAGCACAGGTAATATCTTAATGGGAACTCACGTCAAAACAGTCCTCACGTTAATGTTGTTGAGACAGGTAAACAAATGATTGATATACAAGGATAATTCCTCATAGATTTTACTAAAATGAATATGCAGAAACCCTATTCTCTATTTCGTGCTGAAATGTACACCTGCTTTATGGGTTGGGGTGAGTATGGTTTTACGCCGCTTTTAGCAATATTCCAAAGATAGCACAGCCGGGGACACACGAAATGAGCGCCAGACATTGTCGCAACGATGCGTTGGAAATGTGAAAAGGATTTTATATACAGTGAAACTTTGTTAATCCCGACCCTATTCATCTGGAGCATGACCTACCGACCTATTTCTACTGGAACGCTTACAGACAAAGTGAGTCGTTAATCCGTACGTTTGTTCATCTGGACGATTTGACAGATACGCTATTGTCCTGATTAGTTGTTTGTTTGTTTGTTTGTTGTTTAAAACTTCACTCAGCAATATTCCAGCTGTATGACGGCGGTTTGTAAATAATCGAGTCTTGACCAGACAATCCAGTGATTGACATCATGAGCATCGATCTACATGCATCAACCAAGTCAGCGAGCCTGACCACCCTATCCGTTAGTCGCCTCTTACGGCAAGCATTGTCGCCTCTTGCGGCAAGCATAAGCTGCTGAAGACCTCTTCTAACCCGGGTCGTGTCCGGACTAACGAGAGCGTGTGAGTGGTTGGTTGGTTGGTTGTTTAACGCCGCACTCAGCAATATTCCAGCTATATGACGGCGGTCTGTAAATAATCGAGTCTGGACCAGACAATCCAGTGATTAATATCATGAGCATCGATCCACGCAATCGGGATCGATGACATGCATCAACCAAGTCAGCGAGCCTGACCACCCGATCCCGTTAGTCGCCTTTTACGACAAGCATAGTCGCCTTTTACGGCAAGCATAGGTTGCTGAAGACCTATTCTACCCCGGAATCTTCACGGGTCGTGTGTGAGAGAGTGGGTTTGGTTTAACGCTGTATTTCGGTTTTATTACGTCATGTAAGTGTAATATTGGAGGAAAGGCCGAAATAATACAGGTCGTTTACCACTTTCGGAAAACCACGAGCACGGGTATTGTGCTGACAAACTTAGAAACATAATCAGGTCGAACTGGGATTCGAACCTATGATCATAGGTTTCTGGCGTGCCCAAGGGATGTGGAACAGGAAATTGTGGTACCTCAGACGATTTGGCCACCAATGCCCCCAAGTAAAGAATGAGTTAGCTGGGAGGAAAGATCACGTGACGTAGACCGTGGATGATAATAGTGAGATAAGGTGAAATTTGTTTTAACGTCGCATACACTGCTCTTAGGCCTCACTGTGTCATATTATTTCAGACTATTCCTAAGTTCACAAAAAACATGCTGATTATCGAGTGATAGGCAAATTAAAAATAAATCAATAGTCTGTTGTTGTGAAGGATGGCGAGCATATAATACATTCTTCACCTGGGAAACATTGCGTGCGTATATGACTATAAACATGTTTACATGGTGGTCTGGGGTTTCGAAAGAGGTGTGTAGGGTAGGAATGGAGATGACGAGGGGGAGGGACAGGCTTCTCAAGTCACGATGTCTGTGACCAAGATTGACATCCGTCAATGACTAATGGTTCTAATTCCATCTACTGCTTCAGCGAAATACGCCAGGTCGATAAAAAAAGGTCGATGAATGTCGACCACAATTAACACAGTATAGATGTAGATCTCACAAGTTACAAATATAGGTATGTTCCACGCACTGAATCTTATCAGTGGACGAGTTTACGTATGACTGGGGTTTAAGAACGACGTTTTATAACGACATCATCGACAATATAAGATCACGTTCACGTAGTTTCTTGATATAACCGATGCTGAACCGAGTTGTATGTGTAGAAGTGCTATGTAGTCACTGGACGTTCCTCTCTGTACGGGGATTCGAACCCAGATTGGCCCTAATTATAATCATTGGTGTGTCAGTACCCCAGCCCCCGGCCCCCAGCCCCCAGCCCCCAGCCGTTGTTGAGCTCAACGTCTACAAGGGGCGGTCGGGTAGCCTAGTGGTAAAAGCGTTCGCTCGTCACGCCGAAGACCCGGCTTCGATTGCCGACATGGGTACAATGTGTGAAGCCCGTGATATTGCTGGAATATTGCTAAAAGCGGCGTAAAACCATACTCACTCACTCAACGTCTACAACGGGAGCCAATGTCACTTTTGCCGTGAGTAAGTCAGTGAGCGAGTATTTTGGTGTACGCTTTAGTGTTATTTCAGCCATAACGTTTTGTCTTAAGTTGGTTTTGTATCCATTTAAGGGTTGAACTCGCGTCTTGAACGTGACGAGACTCCGCTTACATCGAGGCTACCCCGTCTCTCGTGTTCTAATGTTCAAACGACCGCCTCGGTGATCTGGGGGCGGCGTCTGTCTACCCGAAGAGGCCTGTGGGTTCGATCACCGACGGCGTCATACCGAAAGACGTTAAAACATGGTACTTGTTGTTACCCTGCCTGACGCTCGATGAAACAAGGATCTGTCGGCTCGACGACAGTAATACGTGTCCATGATAAACTGCGGCAAGGTATCTCAATGGGCGAGAATTATAACAACCGGCATTTATCCGGCCAATACAGGCAGCCACGCACGCACGCACGCAAGCACGCACGCACGCACGCACGCACGCACGCACACACACACACACACAGAGTCACAGAATACTCACATAAAGGGAGTCTTGCAGTAGACAGAGTAGTGTTCAATGAACGCTAAATAAACCTTTGTTAAAGGCTCACAGGAAATTATTGTTATATAACTTACCATACCATCAATAGAAATTATTATTTTATTATGTGTGTTTCGATGTCATAGTTTTACCCATGAAGATCCGGGTTACAATAGATCTTCAGCAACCCATGCTTGTCGTAAAAGGCGACTAACGGGATCGGGTGGTCAGGCACGATGACGTCGTTGATGCATGTCATCGTATCCCAATGGCGTAGACGGATGCTCGTGGTGTCAATCACTGGATTGTCTGGCCCAGACTCGATTATTTACAGACCCCCGTCATATAGCTGGAATGTTGCTGAGTGCGGCGTTAAACAACAAACATCACATCAATAATCTTGAATCCGACGTTAAACCCCATTTTCACATTTTATCTGGACCGGACAGTATTCGGCTCACAAAAACTAAAACAATCCCCGACCTAAGAGCAGCGTTCATGTGTGCGAAGAATCATTTGTTTTTGTATGTTTTCGTTTAACGTCCTCTGCAATATCCCAGTTATAGGACAGCGGTCTGTGAATAATGGAGTCTGGACGAGACAATCCAGTGATTCAACAGTAATATGCCATAATCGACATTTTACCTTTTTTTCTTAGCAGCATCAAAGTCCAGGCACTAAACCTTTTCTATTTCAAGTCTGCAAAAAACTTTAGAGAAGAGAAATTGTGAGTCCTTGACTTCGGCCTCTTGTCAATCGGTACTCGTGTACCCGTCAGAGTTAAATAACACAATGTCATGTTGTTTGAAGCTATGAAATCTAATTTGAGTCCGTAACATTTGTCCAAATGACAAGAATAAATTATCTCTTTTTCCAAATGACACTAAAAACTATCTCTGTGTCATTAATCTCTGGCTTACGTTTCCTGCAGCCGATAATACATCCTCATCAAGGATGGTAAATGGCCGTCATCCACTGTGCGAGGCCGCGGTCTGAGTGTGGGCGGGAAGGACAGCAGTGCTGAGCATACTTGGAGCGCGTGAGCTGCACGTGGACATTGCCCCTGCCTAGATATGTGATTTGTTGGTCATTTTCACTTTAACACGACATACTGAATTGTTGATAAATATATTATGTACCAAAAAATCTGATTTCTGTTTGTTTATTTACACGTGCATCGGATTATCAAATACACCTAAAATTAATTAAGCTGGTTTTGCGACCATATCTGTCAAACAAGGCATCATTCGCGTCAAGCCTGAGCTATGGTTGAGAATTAAATATCTTGTGTAAGATGAGACGCTTGACTAATGAAAACACAGAGAATGATGCAAATGTTCAATAATTAATAGCATTTATAACACAGTTGTGATAGTGCTGTAATTGAGCAAAATTGATAAACCACGAAAACTAAGAATCTGGAAAGTTCCATGAGCAGGTATGAACGTCCATTACTGTCCAAAACCGTTCATTGTTATCTTACAAAAGATGATCACAATCCTGAAAATCAGTAGAGAGTGTAAACCGACCTGTGAATGGATGACAGATTCTACCTCCTCACTCCTCCATTGAGTCTTCTGATACGATCAAGAAGTAACAGCTGAC